CACCATTCTCTGTGATTGAATACCCGGCCCAACCAACTCTTGCAATTGAAACCCAGACCCCGGTATCTGTATTTGAATTGGTGGCGCACCTCCAATAGACGGGGGCACAGGTGGGGGCACTAGTAGTGCCGAAAATGCTAAGAAAATTATGTTAAATAGGGTACAGATTAGCAACATTTTAACAGTAAAATTAGGTTATACTAAGATATTAATTAATGATTAATTAATTTAAGATATTAATTCATTATTTCATTAATTACTGAGCATTTGATTTACAAAAACTCTTGCATTAAAAACTAAATATAGTGTGCGTTCACTATAATAAGTGGTTATATAATATATTTGAAAATTAACTTATTTAAATTATTGTTTTAACTTGGTAACTAAAATTCTTATTTTGATAGACAACATTTATTCAATATTCTCAACAAGTTGTACAAGTTTATTTTTATTACTGTATATTATTGGATATAGTAGAGATTGTCTAGCATATGTAAAAGGTATTAAATTATTTGATTGTTTAATGCATAATTATATAAAGAATATTACCATTATTTGAAATTATATCCACATTTTAAATTTTTTTTTAATAAATAACATAAAATTAAAAATTTAGAAATAATCACATTTTTGAGTTTATATTTATTTTGAATACATCTCTAATTAAGTATTATTATTAATAACTATAACTAACTTGTACATTGAGGAATTTTTACTTTTAAATACGAATATTTGATATGTAGCAGAACATTAAACTTGTTCAGTACTGTACTGTACTTACACTGTAAGACTTACAGTATAATAATTTTAAAACAATTGTAAATATAAAACAAACCTTTCATTTAATATTCAATTAAGGAATAAATTCTCAAATTTTAATAAAAATTAAATTTTAGTATGGTATATAAGATAATTAATAAAACATAATAAATAATAGTTTTTATAACTTTTTATAAACCAATTATGATACCATCAAATGTCAAATAAGTGGACGTTATTAATGGGTGTGCATTGAAACACAACAACACAACAAACCCACGGATTGTGATGTGTTTTGTGCGACAATTCAGTGATTAGTGTATTGTTTGTAATTGCAGTCAATGTTTGATTGCATTAATACTGCACTCAATATAGTCGTCAATCATATGATCCAAACAAACACTAATCCATTGATTGGTTGACTCGTCCAAAGCACTCATACCATACACACAGTGATAGACCGATAGACAGAGTGGTAGACAGAGTGGTAGACAGTGTGGAGTGAATGGTGTGGTGGTTGTGGTGTTTGTGGTGATGCCGTCCAAGAAGAAGAAATATAACAGTCGTTTCCCTCCGGCGAGGATCAAGAAGATCATGCAGTCGGACGAGGAGGTCGGCAAAGTGGCACAAGTGGTTCCCATCATCATCTGTATGTCCATTCATGTGACTGTCATTGCATTATCTCTCATATTGTCTTTGTGTTGACAGCCAAGGCGTTGGAGATGTTTGTGCAGTCATTACTGCGCTCGTCATCAGAGATCACCCGAAGCCGTAACGCACGGACTCTCACTCCCAATCACATGTATGTCCACTGAATGCCATAGTATGTGGTGATGGATGTAATGATGGTATGGTTTGATGTATTGACAGAAAAGCATCGATTCTAAGCTGCGATGAGTTCCACTTCTTGCGAGACATCGCGCAGACCATACCTGACGTGAATCCCGGGGCCGACGGTGACGACGAAGAGGGCGCCACCAGTGGGTCTGCGACGCCGTATCCGCACAACTCGACCAACAGAAGCACTCATCCCATGTCGGCCTCAGGACAGGCGGCGGCCACTGGTTTCCGGATGAGGGGTCGGCCTCGAAAGCGACCCATCGAGGCGTCCACTCAGTCATCCAGATCTCTGGCCTCTACTGTCGACGAACCGGAGGACGAGTCGGAAGAGGAGGACGAGGACAACGACGATGAGGATGAAGACGAGGAGGCGGACAGAGAGCACTCATAAACATATTTTTATTACAATATTGTATTTGAAAGTAAATAAACAATTCATTAAATATAAGAATTGTGTCAAAGAATGGATAATTAAAATTCTGGAGTAAATCTCTGGAATGTATAATAAAACACATAAAATCTCAATAATAATAATACTTCTGAGAAAATAAGATATCTTATAAAAAAAAGTTGTAAAAACGTAAACAAATATTGCGAAAAAGCAAAAATGAGTATATGTTGTGATTTTGGGACAATTGAAGTGGTAATTCAATTCACTTAAATATACCTGTTGTTAAGGAATTCAATTCAATTATCATAAATGTTGTCTTAAGTAGAAATGGGGTTTAGATTCAATTGTTGTTAATTTTGTCATTAATGTTATCATTAATATTGTTATTATTAGACTCAAAACTAAAGAGTTTTGTCTGCAATCTATGCATTTGGTGTGGATTTGCCATAAGATTACGTGAATTATCATCACCACCTGCGCTAACATCAGGTGTTTGTAAAGTACTCGACACCAGAATATTATCTCTAGAATTGAGAAGATTTTCGCGCGAATTACCAATAGATCCCGAGTCCATGAGTGCCGACATCATAGTCGAGTTGAATGAGTTGAAGTTGACGTCTTGTAGCAGTTCCGATGTGTCGATACCCTCCAGACCTAAGGAATCAAATTTCTCCATCACTTCATCTGTCATTGTATTGAAATTGTTGTTAACGCCTTGTATTGCATTGACGTTAATATTACTGGTATTTGTGTTAAGAGTACTGTTGGCGTTATCAAAGATAATGCCAGCATTCAGGTCGATGGCCATGAGTGGTGGGGTCGACATCACTGGTTGTGCCGCTAATAGTGTTGTCAGTGTAGGCGACGACCCTTTGGGCGATTTCGATGCGTTCATGTCGACCGCCACCGGAATGTTAGGCAACAAGAACTCGGATTGTGTTGAGCACTGGGATAGGCTTTGGGACGAGAGCTGTGATGATATCTGCGATGGCTGTCTATAGCCTTGTCCTAAAAGTACATCCATTTGAGGTCTGGTCTGTTGCGGGGTTTGCGATAATGGCATGAATTGTGAAGAACTGGTAGTCCATGAAGTCTGTGGCACAGGTGTGGTATTCAATGCTTGTTGAGTATCTAATGTTGTGCTCATTGGTTCCAACTGTAAGTTCAAAATAAATGCAATTAAATATACGGTAATAGTAATAGACATTCAAAATATAGCTGAAAAGCCAACAGAGCACAGGAATACAGGAATCGCAGCCATTGTTAGTAAAGAATATAAAATTAATGAACAGAATTTGAGTTAAAAGATATGTGAGAATATGCCAATAAGCCAGTGAAAGGGTTGGCAATATTATCATCACTGATAAGCTGACAAACAGGGATTTGGGTTCAAACAAAACCTACTTTAATATTAGCGGTGAGTCGGGGCACGTGAATCACTTCGCGTTTGGGTGACACCGGACTAACAATAGCTGAACCGGCAATACCTGTGGCCGTATTGGGGCCAGTAGTTTGTGGTGCACTCACTCCTGGGAGCAGAGAGTTTTCACGCAAAAAGCGCTCAAAGCCTTCATCAATCTTCTGGCGCTTACGGGTGAGTCCGTCCGGATCCACCTCTTTGGGCAACAGTTGGAAAACACGGGCGTCAGAGAGACAACCGTCTGATGGGCGCCGCAGTTGGAGCTGCACTGACACGGGTTGTGTCAGGTTATCCATGAAATAGCGGGGCGTCCGGAAACATATGGCCACCTGTTTGTGCACATCTCCGGGTCCGAAGTCGGCCAACGCGTCCCAAACCACTTGACCGTTGAGTTCCTGGAAGAAGCGCACCTGAATGTCGTCTTTGGTGACCCGATCGCACAGTAGTATCATTTCTTGGCCCCCATTGCACGGCGCCGAACAGTGCGAGAGCTTCGTTATTATCAGTTCAGTCATCGCCTCTGCCATCACACACACCATCAGACAACACATCATTAGTCAAGACATACAAGCATTTCAATATATGGCACAATTTGTATGAGATTAGCATTTAAATTGTTAAGTACTGTACCAATACTTTGGGCTAAACTAACAAATAAATTGATACATACTTTTGTCATAAATAGGATCGGAAACAATTGGCGGCAATTGAACCGTAAATTTGTCTTTTTCTGGGCCTTCGATGAACACTTGAAAGCAGAGTCGGACCACATTTAGGTCAATACTTGATGACTGCGATTTGTGGCTAAAACCGGCTATCAATACAGATAATTGGATATCAATAAAAACACATCAGATTTATAGGGAAGAGAGAGAGAGAGAGAGAGTTACTCCTGTAGGGGTCGACTTTGATGGACTCGCGGAGCTTAAGGCTGTCCTCAATGTCTTTGCGTTTGACGCACTGAATGCCGAGTGAAGTGAATGAGCAGATCATGTCGTGGTTGTTGATGACGAGAGTGCAGACCCCCTTCTTGCAGCCCTCTTTGCCCACGAGGTTGTGTGGGTGGGGGCGGTAGGGCTGCTCTTTGGTCACACACGACACCACCACCACTGCCTGACCCCTGTAGCCGCACACCTGAATAGTCGGGTATGTCTTGTTGTCGGCGGTGGCGCCCGAACCGGGAATACTGCCGGCGCTGCGACCCTCGCACTCGTACCGAAACCTCAGCGCACACTTCGCCGGCTGCTCCACAATACGGACGTACGGCTGACCACCAGGTGAGGGGGTCTGAGCTCCTGAAGGGCTGGTTGTGGTGTTTGACTGAACGAATTGGTCCATCATTTGTGACATATTTGTCGTGTAATTCAATACCAATTATCTCTGTCTTTGGATCAGTGCTTCACTTATAACTTATAACATAACCATTCAATTGCTGTCAAACACCTATTACTCCAGTATTCATATTCATTACCACTTCATATTCAATGAGTTTATGAATATATTAATAGTTATACAGTAGTTATACAGTACTGTAGTTATTATTATTCATATAATTATTATATCATTCAAGTGTTGGTCAGCAAAGAGTCACTGGTTTTGAATGATTAGCGAAATTAGTTCCCAAACTCTGTGAACAAACAATTGATACAATAATTACAAAAAAGTTGATAAACAATAAAAGGCTTTCAAACACGTGACCAGTGAATGCATTTCAATATGAATACAGTGATGGTTAGCATTACTGTCGATCTAACAATGAATCCAATGATGAGATACTCACCAATCGATTGGTAGTGAATGACAATCAAGTGTTCATTGAAAGCAGTCATCGATTATATGACTATTTGTGTGAAAAAGTCATAAATAGTGAGACAAATGAGACAAACAATGAAAGTGTTTGTGTTATACGAGTAGTGGTGTAGTAGTGATGCAATTGTATGCACTGTGTGTCCATTGCGTAGTATTAGAGCACAGGTATGTCAGGTATGGCTAGGATTACGGCTTATGCTTATATGATGGGCTGATGGGCACTACAGGCCTGGCATTCACCACACACTCACTCCCTCTCACACACAGACCACTATTGCATCGCTCAATGCAATCGCACTTTTGGTACCTTTTGTGGTGAGTGTGAACACAAAGCACGGCATCATTTGCTAAACTGTATAGAGTTTAGGAGAGAGTGATTGAGTGGTCAGCGATTGTTTCGGTGATGTTTGGGACACACGTGACATACGAATGACCCCTCACTCCATCACTGCATCCAATATTTGGCATATAAAAGTATTGCAGTAGATATTGCAGTAGATATATTCAGACAATTCATTTGAAAACTTAGATCAACAATTCATTCAAATCATTGCCTATTGAGTGGATTGAGTGTAAGTATGTGTTGCCGCGTATATCCCAGACATAGACGTCACAACATTACCTCACAAATGGTGAGCAATAGGGGAACTGGAGGAATGGGAGGAGTGTTACAGAGATTAATGATCGCTCACATGTAAATTAATACAAACTAAACATTATAACAACTTTTAATGTTACGATAATTAATGAGAAAAACCCAGAATATTCTTATTGTATGATACACTGTCTTATAAATAATGTAAAAATGCAATTCTCTTATCAACCAAGCTAATTCTTTTAAAGCCAATATGAGCCGGTGCAAAGTATAAAGGTCTCTAAATATTTTTTTAATGTGTTTAATATTCATACGAATATTTGGTAAGCAATGTGTAAGGGGGGAACTCACAAATAGACTCAAGCACAAAAATAAAAAGTGTATAAAACTTTAGAGGCCTTTATACTTTCCACTGGCTCATATCATATTTTAAAATTAAATTATTTGTTTGTATTAATATATCCTTATTCAAAAATACTACACAAATTAGTGAAAATACTGTATTGAATTTATGATAATATTATTTTTTACATATACAATAATTGAAATAGGGTTTAATTAATTTTAGAAAATTTATCGTGTTAATTAAGTTAATATGATTTGTATAAATATTGTATTAATTATTACATTTAAATACGAGCGAATAGAATTGAATTGAGTGTAATATAAATTTAGTATAGTATAATATAATATAAAATTGATACTGTATTATATAATACTGTATAGAGAAACCTGTTTTGACAGTCAAAAGCAATCAAATGTTGATTACGTTGTAGTAATTCCCCACTCATTGAGACAAATCCATAATAAGTTTTAAAATAGTATTAATCATGGATGACATGGGATTTGGGTTTATAATCAAAGTCACACAAAAATGAAGTTGTCTTATGTTTTAAAAAATATCACACTTACCTTGGTTAATAAGAAAAATCTTTTTTTATAACAAAAATTGTAAATTTTAAGACATGTTCTAGGTCTAATTAAACATCTATTTACTATTTGTTTAATTCTTTTTTTATATAATATCAATAAAGCTTAATTATGTATTGATAATGTTAATTATTTGATTATGTTTGTATATAGCCGTATATCTTGAATTAATCTATTACTCCATTAATTTAATATTTATTAATATTGATTGTGTTTGTGGTCAAATACAAAACTGGTAAATATCAGGTCTGGAACAAAGAAATCGCAATGGCCCTGCTTTAGTAAAAATTAGTTAATTTCTTAACTAGATCACTTAATTTTAATCTATTTAAACCCCAACTATGGTTTTAAATTTTACATGTACTCTCAAAAAAATTGTCTTCATTACAGCACCGGGCGGAATGGTAGGTGTTTTATAGTGACTATTAGAAGTCATTGTGTAAATCTAATAAATGCGTTTAATAGAGCTCAAAAAATGAACAAGGTTTACATTTAAAATTTTTCAAATAACTCTTAAAATAAATGTCCTAGAGCATGTCAAAGTTGACAATTTTACATTTTATTACATTTTACCCGTATTTATGTGTAATAAATTATATCGTACACTCAAATTTCAATATTAAAACAATTCTGTATCATGTTATAAGTTATATAACATATAGCAGATAACAAACTAATTTAATCGTAATTGTTAACGTCTTACTGTTAGTGTTACTGTCAAATTATTCTAATTAAATAATTTTAAATATGAATCTACTAAAATGTTTTTATAATATTATAATATTTTAATATTAAAAAATCTCATCAATTTTTATATAACAATATCTGGATGATTTAACGAAATGAGTCTTTCAACTCTTCTTTCAATATGACAGTACAGCACTGTTTAGCACTATTACAGTCATTTGAAAGAAGAGTTGAAGGACTCATTTCGTTAAATCATCCAGATATTCTAAGTTACTTTAGTAGTGTAGTTATAACTTATAAGCTTTACTAGTAACTTACTATGTATTGTTATTTAATAGTTAATGTTCAAATATAAATAAATTATATTGAAATTTTAATATAAATGTATTGTTATTTGTATGTCAAACATAATCTTATTACTCTATATAACTATAATATTATTTTTGAGAAATTTGTGATAAAAAAGCGATGCAATGGAGAAGAGTTGTAAGCAAGACATACAACAAGTGATGCGTTGCTATGCAATAGTTAGTCGATCGGGGATTGAATGGTGTAATACATGTTTAATAAGAGCACCAATTGATGGAGTAGTGTCGGTGCGCCTGTGAAACATGGATGTGCTTTATATCTGTGCGCACCACAGATGATGGCACAGCTTATGGCAGCATTTGGCCGAACCATAGAGTTTGCCATATAATGGTATTGCATTGAGAGACCTGTACTCCTGAGTTAACTCTATGGCAAACAATCATTCAATGACAGCAATCCATAAGAATAGACTGTTTGAGGGAATGGATGTCTGTGTTGTGTAAAGAGTATTGTGTTTGTAGTGTAGAGTAAGGGCGCCAACCATTGAACCATTCTTTTAAAGAATCGCTGTTTATATGGCATAACACATAACACATACAAACTTGTGTATTCTCAAACATACACTAATATTACTGGTTGTGTTTGCAGAGGTATATGTGCTCCAGAATTGAGTGTGAACACAGAACACACATACTTCCACTATATTCTCTACACAAGTAAGTCAGTGCCACACCTTTTATCACCATTTCATGATTATATAATCCATATCATCATTAGCTTAAATAAAAGTAGTGATTTCCCAAAACTCATTATTATACATATTGTACTGACATTTTCTATTTAGTGAACCATTTTTATATACAAACTCTATGTGCTTTTAAATGGTTTATCTCTAAAATATACGCTACTAATCATATATTTGTCTGTCAAATGATAAAGTAACTAAAGAATCTAAAGCAACATATTATATGATAGAAATCTTACACTCTATTTGCTTATCTGTAAAAAACAGAATATTCTTTCATTATAAACATTATAAATTCCGTATTCAATTTTACACCACTTGAAAGTACTGTATACAAATTGATTTATTAGTTTTGTATAAATTTGTGAAAAGCTTATTAAACTTAAACAACGAAAACTAAGTATAATAAGATTATGGATTAAATCGATTGTCAAATCTGTGCTATTATTCTAAATATCTCTGTCCGTAATGTCCGTCATATGATAATATTAATTAAGAAGTATTAAAATATAAACATTAATAATAATAAGAAATAAAACGTAAAATATAACGTCAAAATGTTTATGTCGTGGGCATCCCCGCGATCTCTGTCCGGTGGCTTTGGACTTAATCGGCTAACAAAACGGGTGGGCAGTGACCACCACCACCATAAGGGGTCGGGCTTTTGGGCTAAATTTTGCTATTCGTGTGCAATCATTATTTTGGCCGCAATACTACTGGTTTGGGCCGTTATTATACACGACATCTACACCAAGAGAAACATTACATTAATGACAAAGACTTTTTATATGATCGGCGCCACACTTGTGTCGGCAGTTATTTTCGTTGTCATAGTTTACATAACCATTACATTCAGACCTCCCAGAAGACACTCAACGATGTCCGCACACGAGGGTATTGATGGAGGAGGGGTTGACGGCAATCAAAGCGCCAACTATATCACTGATAACCAGGTATTATTTGCTCACATTTTCATATTAAATATGATAACCAATTACATTTCAAAATTACATTTATTTAGTTACTTTGTTAATTAATTACTTTTGTATTTTGTAAAACATTAGTCTTAATTTTTCAATTTTTTATAAATATTAAATATGAGATTTTTATAGCTTAAGTCAATATTATTCAATGATCCTCATTAATTTTTTTAAAGTAAATTAAAATATAAAATAAAATGTTATTATAAAGAAAATTATTTAAACAACTTTATTATTTAATAATTTCCCAATTTAAAAATTTATTTTTTAAAAGCTAATAATGAATTTAATGTATATTATTATATATAAAACATTAAATATTAGGAAATTATGAGTTATGATAAAGTTATTTGAGGCAAGGTTTAAAAGTTTTTATTAAATAATTTGGTTATAATTTAATATTGTTATTATTTAGTATTACTATATTATTATTGTTTAAACAACAGTTATTATTTAATTTATTTTTAATAGTATTATATTTTATAAAGATTTCTTTCATAATGATTCCAATAAAGTTTTATTTGATTTGTATAATGTTATTATAATAATATAAAATAATTGTAAATTATAAATTAGATATTAACGTGATGTTTGTCTCTCACACCCAACCCTATGTTATGTCCAACAAATCAATAGCACCCACACCTTGATTCCAGGGCCAAGTCCACAGATATGAGTTCTCCCGTCTAAGTCAACCACTAAAGTCACGACAATTGTATAATCAAACAAACATGGGTTCACTGATTGTATTATAAGTTAACATATTTAATTGATTTATTTAAACTTAATTAAGAATAATATTAATCCTGGCAGTCATATTTAATAAGAAATTTATATTAAAGAGAAGATTATCCCCAAAATATATTACTCTCTGTAATTCCAAACTTATTTACTTAAGAATATATTATCAAGAAGGTTTTTTGTATAAATATTTCATTATATGATAGTTAAAATTGATCAATTAAATTCCTATTCATTATTAGGAATATCAAACATTTTATGTATTGTAAAGATTGGATGCAATTAAACCGCTATTTATTACGCTATATATTTACTTCCTTTTAAGTAATTTATTACAGAATATAATACTTTATATCTTCTTTAATATTTACCTCCTCTAAATTATTAATTATTAACTGGATCTAATTAATATGTGTCAATTCTTGAATGATCATACTGTTATATCAACTATATAAATTTATATGGAATTACTGTTATTTAAAATTAAAGTTTTCAAATTGTGTTGTTATAAAACATACCTTATAAATTAATTTCTAAAATTCTTTCTGTATTTAATAAAATTTTAATTCAAAATCTTACGACACACTTTCATATGTAACAAAAATTGTCATTATGGTTATTTTATAAATTAATTTTTTATTAATTCCAATATTAAACAAATATATTGTAATTTTGTAAACATTGTTAATTTCCTAGATAAACTATCATATTGTTATTAAGATCATTCAATAAGACAATTCAATATTATAGATATTAAAATGTATATATTTGTAAAAACCAAACCTTT